AGTTAGGGATCAAATTGTTACACAAATGTGGAATGACTACTCAAGACGTCGTACATGACTCTATGGATTTATTTTGTAATGTAGTTCAGTATCTGCTTATTTTGTCATAACACGTAAACTTTTAATCGTATCGATTGAACTGCTTCATCAAATGTAATTTAGGTTGTGTTTTTAATATCTTGAAAAAAATTTGGACATTTCATCAATTTTAAAATGTATATGTTATTTAATACTATATTAACATTAAACAATTAAAATTTATTGAATAATCAGTTTTTTTGAATAAAATATTATTAAAAAATTTTCAAAATTTCAAAGCAAACGTATTTTTCATTTTTATTTTTTGGAAATAGTTTCTCAGAATGGAAAAAAGAACGTATTTTCAGAAATTTCAAAACAGACACTCTAAACACAAAACACAAAACGAATTCAAAACTCAAAACACAAAACTGAAACATGAAGAGAACGACACCTAAAATTCTGAAAAAATAAATTTATAAAAACTTTTAGAAAAATAAAAATTATAAAAAGTAAAAATAGTTCAAACTCTTGTAACTATCTAGATAAAAAAAATTTTACAAAAAAATTTAAATGAATATAGATAAAAATATTCCTAGTCCACATCATTACCTTTTATTTTAATTATCTATATTTTGAACTCAATTTTTTATTTTACTTCTGGGACGACTTTTTTTAACAAAATTCATTAACTTTAAAATGTTCATATTACTTAATAATATATTAACGTAAAATTATTATATTTTTACTAAAAAATCAAATTTTATGAAATAAAATGTCATAAAATAAATTTTCAAAATTTTAAATCAAACGTATTTTCTAATTTTTAGTTTTTCAAGAAAAGACCATAAAAACAGAAAATTCAAAATAAATTCAAAATTGAAAACTAAAACACAAACCAAATGGACCTTAGTTTTCTATTGAGATTCTAGCTATGTCAACGAGCCAAGACATAGCCGAAAAAAAAAAGTTCGAGCTCGAGCTTTTTTAGGCTGAGCTTTTTTGGGCCCGAGCCGCCGAGGCAAGCTTGGCAAAAAAAAAATGAGGTTCGGCTTAGTGAGCCGAGCCCGGACCGTGCCTTTTGGGGTTTTTTTTTTAAATGTCAAATCTACATTTTTGCTTAAAAAATTTAAAATTTGTACGGTTTATACGTACTATAAACTAAAAAAAAAAGCTCGGGCTCGGCTCGAACTTTTTGGGGCCGAGCTTTTTTGGGTCCGAGCCGAGTCGAGCCTTGGCTAGGTGTAATCAAGCCCGAGCCGACGAGCTTTTTTGCCATCCCTAAGAGGTTATTCTAACCAAATAAAATACGTTAAAAAATTTATTCAAACATACTCAAAAATAAATTTCTTATGCTCATAAGCAAATTTTAACTTTTTAAAAGTCCTAGAGTTCCATAAATTAACAAATCAAGCACATTTAGAATTCAATTCATTAAAGATTTTCAGTTGCAATTGAATTCTAGTATCCAAAACAGTTTAAAACTGCCTATGTTTGTCGACTATTCTTCAAGAACTCCTTTTTTTTTTTCAGAAAATTATTTTCAACCAATATTTTTTACATATAAGTAAAAAAAAAATCTACTTTTTAACAACGCATTCTTCAAAAGATCACAATTATAAAACTAATTTTTTTTTTCAAAAAAAATCTTTTTAACGGACATCAAGCGGGGCTTAAGAAGAAGAATCCAACGAAATTGGCGATTAAATTCAATACTGGGGTCCACTCTTACATTTGTACGACCCTGCCAACAAACTCATGGAGTGCTTTTTCAGTCTGTTCAAACTTCAAACTTAAAGCCGTGCATTGAGCCATTTACCCTACCAAAATCATACTCACCAAAGGCCAAAATAAATCAGTAAAACCCTAATTTTTAAACCCTTATCTCTTTGATCAACCCCTTTTTGTCACCGATCTTTACTTTCCTCAGTTTTTTATTTCACTTTAGATTGAATTTCAATTTGCATTTCGTTTTGATTAGCTTCTCCTGTAATTTATGGATTCTCAGGATCCGTCTGCACCACTACCACCGCTTCGTCCCCACCACCTGCCCCACCCTCAACAAACCCCGACCATCTATGCGGGTCCACCACAAACCCATCACACTCAATCCCAACAGCACAACAACCTTTACACCATTTCCAACAACAACAATTCTGCCACCACCACCGCTACTATGATGCAACAACAAAATTTGTACCCCTTTAACACCATGGCTTCTGCCTCTGCGTCCAAGCCACTGGATCATCACTTCTCTGATAAATTGGTTTCAGGTGGCGAAGGGGAGGCTGGAGGGTTCAGCATCGATTCTGCCAGAAAGAAAAGGGGTCGGCCCAGAAAGTACTCACCTGATAACAGCATTGGTTTAGGTCTGTCCCCTGATCCTGCCACCAAGATTTCCTCTGCCATGGCCCTTACTGATTCTGGTGGTGGGGCCCCATTGTTTGAAACTGCTGCGAAGCGCAACCGTGGAAGGCCTCCCGGTTCCGGAAAGAGACAGTTGGATGCTCTAGGTTGTTGTCTCACCCGTTAATCATTGTTTTTATTAGAAATACGTACATGCATTTCATATTCGAGTGATTATGTCAGTGTAATAATGAACTTCCTTTTCTGGTGGGTAGGAGCACAGGGAGTTGGATTTACACCACATGTCATTACAGTGAAAGTGGGTGAGGTGAGTTAGTTAATAATGCTATTTTGATGATGATGTATTAGTACATATAAAAAGGGAAATTTGAAGTTCTATGAAATTGTTGCGTGTTGCATTCCTTGGGAATGGATTCATTGCAATTACTACCCAGAGAATGTCCAATCCTTCTGCTGAATTTATTTGTAGATTCACCTCATTCCGAATAGGAAAAGAATAATCATATAGGGAAGGAGCAACTCAATTTCAATAGTTTGTTTGTCATCCCTCAAGTAGTCTTCATAATTGCATTTTCTTTTATATGTTGTGACAATAATATTAACCGCACCTTTGGTGATGTATAATAAAAATTCAATTTGGTAAAATTATTGTTGAAATATACTTGAGTTGATAGTTGTGCAGCCAGGCAGAGTCACATTATTAATTAGAATAAGTTAATAATTTTCTTTATGAAGTTAAGAGGCCAATGATAAGAACCCTACAAGAATAAAAAGTTATTTCTTTAGACAAGTATTGTTGTTAAACTACAAGATGTCCATAAATTGATGTAGCAAAACGAAAATGCTAAAATGGATGTGTGGGCATCACTAAAATGGAGAAGAATCATAAGATAAAAATGGAATATATGCTATCAAGTGGAGGTAGCACCGACGGAGGAGTCAAGACATGTTTCGCATAAACCTAGAGAGGCTCTTGTTCGTAAAAGTGACACGATCTAGAAAATGGTAGAAGAGAAAAGGGTAGACCAATCCTAACTAGGCAATTATGTTCCTAAAGACATAGTAGCTTTGGATCTCCGCAATGAACTAAATCGAAACCAAACTAAATAAAAAAAAAGGATTCAAGTAGCCTACTCAAAATTTATTTTGGGAAGAAGATTTTGCATCCGTTGGGCATCCAATTTATAATTTTTTTATAAATTCACTCAAAGTAAAAATTTAATTTCAACCACACATCGTAACTATTAATCATTCATTATCCACAAATTTTTTGGGACCCATTACTATTTTTCTTTATAAATTGTTTTATAAATTTGTCAAAAAAAAAAAAGGCTTAGTGCTTGTTTGGAGAGATTATAAGTAGGATTGGGTTAGGTGTGGTTCGGTTCGGTCCAGTCCGGTTTTGAAGGGAACTAAACCGAACTAAATACCAATGTGAATCTTAGAAATGAAATAATTAGTTTCATATCCAATTATAGAATCGAACCGAAACCAAACAAACCAGTTTCTATCTAGTCCGGTTGGTTCTTTATATTGAAAAATTATTAAAATAAAGTATGAATCTACTTGTCAGATTGAAAATAGACAAAAATAGAATAAGAACTTGCTTGTCATTCTTGTAATCTATTAATATAAAAAATCAATTAAACAAGGCAATGGATAAAAATCCACTTCAAAGCTTAAGATCAACTCATAAAGGCAAAAAAATGATAAACTATTAAACACAACATAAATGGTAAAATTTGGATCGAAAATTAATTGCTATGAAAATCCATATAACAATATATATTAAAATCCATGATCCTCAAGGATCTTGATTCTTGATGGTCGGTCACTTTGAAAACAACGAGAAATTTGAGTTCTTACGAAATATTGAACTAAAAATATTTTTTACCTATTGGGTTGAGTTGAAGCCATAAATTTGTTGAGTATTTATAAATTATTTAAATATGAATTTTGACTACACATTAGGTTTTGCGATAAGGCGAGGAAAAGAAACGTATGCAAAATGGATTTATGATGTTTCAAAAGATCTAGTGCATCTTGGGTGTGCAATGAACTAGCAAAAAGAAAAATTCGAGAGACTGTCTGAATTCACGGTTGGTTCTCAAGGCAGTACCGAAAATCGAATCGAAACCAACCGGTTCTCGATTCTTGGTCCCTGAACCTACTCATTTAGTGGAGGACTCGAAAATGAACCGTTCAGTTCTATTTAGTTCTGGTCTGGTTCTATTGGTCCAGGGAAAATATGTCCAATTATTATAAATAGATAGAAATGAGTTGTAGGTAAGTGAGCATAGCAGTTGTGTGTCATACAAAATATGATCAAAATTTTGTTTGACTTTGACCTTTAATTATAATGAGATTATAATGTAAAACAGACAAGAACTTAGTTCGTTGTTATTGTTAGTAAAAGAAGTAAATAATTGAACTCACCCGTTGTGTGGAAATAGTTGAGTCAATATAGCTTTTGGTCATTGGTAAGTTTTAGGAGATGTTTGAATGTTGAGATAATAATAGTTTATACGTAGTTAGATATGATGTCTGTTTAGCTTAAAATATGCAAAAAAGGTATATAATCAAATACTCCCTGGTATGGGAGCTTAACGCCTTTTTCCTAAATATTTGGCTTTGATGTAATCTGTGAATTTTATTTATGGTAAAATTTTATAGAACAGGTGATCATTTTTTTTATGAATGCATGATTGCATGAATATATATGTAGTTGCTTCGTAATCCTTTTTGGAAAGATATTAGGTTTCATAGCTTCTTTTTGATAAGCATGAATATGCTTTAGTATTTTCTCATGTGTTTGTTGTTCCATAAACCGAGTGAAGTTGAAGGTTGAGTTTATAGTTTTATTTAATAATTCGGAAATGAGCCATGATCGTGATTGTGACCTAGGATATAGGCTTATAGAACCTTTGGTTGTTTAATCACAAGACAATTCGGTGCCATAAATCACTTCATTTGCAGTGATAGATAGCGTGTTATTAAAGGCTAATTAGTGTTGTCCTTTTGATACGTGATTGGAAGTATTTCTTAATTAGAATTCTAAAAATAAGAATACTAAGAAAATAATTGAGGACGGAAAAAGGTGACTGCAGAAAAGCTTTGAGTTATCTATGAAGTCGTACTTCATGTCTTGAGCATAACACCCTTTGATGGGAGTCATTTTGTTTTAAGTTAATAGTCTATTTCGCCTTTAGTAGGGACGCAGGTTTGTCTCAGAGTTTTTTTGCAAATGAGGATTACATTTGTGAAGTTTTGCTTCCTAGGAGACTATTTACTTAATAATGCTATTAATTTTATGAAGGCTTTGTAACTTTGGAAAAATTCCATGATAAAAAGTGTTACTGGAGCTTTGTGCAACAACAAGAAGTTAAGCGTTTCTTCAATGATATTGGGGCTGATAGAATATCTTTTTACCATTTCATTGAATCTTGTGTTTTATCTAGTGAATGATCCAAATGGAATCAAATAGTTTGCAATTGTATTGCACCATCACTCAGTTCCATAAAACATGACTTGTTTAAAAATCTGTTTTGTATGATTTGCTTTTAAAATTGTTGTGTATCCTCCAATCAGTAGGATCTTTATAACATTTCTCTATTCTGCCTAAACCTCTCTAATTCTATAAATTATATCTTCTTTTAAATTCTCATTCAATAATTATTCAACCTAAATACATATCACAATTGCATATTTTGCCAACCTTACACTCTATTATGGTTTTACTATCATCCTTATTCTCCTACTATGACGAAAACACATTTTTTGCATAGTAATGTTAACTCAAAGGGCTTCTCCATAGTAATTTTATATGCGTCTACTCTGAATAAAAGTTGAGTTACTTATATTAAATAAGAAAAAGGAAAAAAAGCATGGTATGATAACATGTGTACTTGTAAGTACCAGTTAAAAGGATGGAGTTTTGCCTCTTTCACCATTTAAGAACTGCTTGAGTCAATTTATTTGTAATGTATGACTCTATATCTTATGTCAAATGTGTTAAATGCTTAGTGCATTGCACTCGAAAGAAAGTGAAAATATTGAAGTGTGCCTAAATATGCTCCAAATCCTCCTATTTGCAAATTATGATTCATGTGGGTTTTGGGGGGGTGGGGGTGGGGGGATGCTTATCTCCTCAAATTTTGTGTGGGAAATCGAAAATAGGACTTCTATGATGGTAGCTCTTGGATTGAAATAGGAGTACACTGAGATGACAGGTAACTCTTGTATGATTACAGGATAATTTTTTTTCATTGTTATTATCTTCTATTTACTGTAGTTCAAATTCGGTAGAAAACAAAACAAATGACATGATAATATATCATTTGCAGGTGATCTATTTTTAGGTAATGAAACTAGGAGCAAGATAAAGTTTAAGTTAGAACATTTGAGAAACAGTTTGAACAGCAAAGGTTTCTGGTTAAATAGATTTAAGACGGAATCCATAATTTCCCTGCACTCATAGTATGAATAGGGATGAGCTGGAATCAAGATAGATGATCAGGTTGTCCTTAAGAGCACTTGTTTTAGCCTTTTAGGTAATTAGTTTGATTATTGGTAAGGAAAGAGGAATTAAAGACAATGTTATGTGTGAGACTAAGGCTGGTTTAAGGATGACCTGGAATCATGATAGATGATCAGGTTGTCCTAAAGAGTACTTGTTTAGGTAATTAGTTCATGAGGAATTAAAGATGATGTTATGTGCGAGACTAAAGCTGGTTACATGATACGAATGGAAAGAGAGAAGTGTTTTACATACCAAGGTAAAAGACAAGTTCTATAGAACAACTATTGGACCAGCTATGCTTCATGGTGCTTAGCATTTGGGAAATTAACGAGCAAAGCTCCTACTTGTTGGAGTTATATGTAGAACAATTATTAGACTAGCTATGCTTCATGGTGCTTAGCATTTGGGAAAGTAATGAGCTATGCTCCTATCTGCTACGGTACCATTATTTTTTTCCTAATCTTTTGTGCAATCAGTTGATATTACAATCCTCATTTGATCACTATTTGTATTTTGAGGTATTAAAAATACATTTTATTTTTTCTGAAATTACATTTGGTCTCTGTTCTGATTTAGGGTTTTAGTAACAAATACTAAGAAAACCTCTTTTCAGCATTCGGATCTGGATGAAAATGAGTCAAATTGATTTTCATACTAAGGAAGATATTTAACACTGACATTCTACTATAATTGATTTCTTTTCCTTTTTTTTTGGTGGCAAAGAGCGTGATAAATTAACTTTTACTGTTTTGTTTTTCCTTTTTCTTACTAATCTAGTATCTAAAGTAGCCTATGCATTGAGGAATAATCCATGAATTTTCTTGTTCCTTATTATTATTATTTTTTTTGGCTCTCATCTTTTGCAGGATATAGCTGCAGAGATCATGGCTTTCTCACAGCAAAGTCCTCGTACTGTTTGCATTCTATCTGCTAATGGTGCCATATGCAATGTCACCCTTCGGCAACCAGCAATGTCCGGCTGCACAGTAACATATGAGGTATGTGAAACTTGTTACGGATACAGCTATGGTGTCTATATGTCCTATACTTTTTTCCCATTGATGATGCGTTGCTTTTTTTATCTCAAAAACAAGAGAGGTTCTAAAATGTGATAAATGTTCTAGTTAATGTTTGTATAGATATCTTTACTCAACTTAAAATATATGTATTCGTAAATGTGTTCGTAAATCAACCTTTGCACATATGTGAAGGCTTTTAGGGTCCGAGGATTCTATTAATGGTGAACTTGCATATCATTTATTTGTAAAGGTGATTTCGCCAATGTAATGTATCTTTCTCATGTGATCCGCATAATAAACATGCAATACCACTTCCTAACCTTTGAGCTTCTCTCACAAGAACTAATTTAATAGACCAATGTCTCCTACTAGTGGTATCTTTAATTCACATAGTGGGTTAAATGGTTTTGATATATTGTTGGCGATTTGATAATGGAAGCAATATTAAATTCATTTGTTATGACAAAAACATGCCATGCCTATGCTTTCTTTCTGCCACTTCTTTTATGCAGGATTAAATTCGTTTGTTATACAACACTTAAATTGGAAAAGAATAATATCCGACTTATTTCTTGTGGATGATAAGAAATCAAGTAGTAGCACAATAGGCAATGACTATATCCCTTTCCTAATTATAGACTCTTGCCTTTTCTACTTTTTACTGGCTATTTTTCAATAAAAAAGGCACACATTGACTCTTGATAAAATTAAGCATTCACGGCATACAAATAGATACAGTGGGTACATGAATCAGAGGGTTCGCAATCTGATATTCCATGCAAATGCAAACTAAAAGTGTACGACAAAAGTGGCAAGCAACATGGGAGAGTCAAATGGGAGTACATTAACTATATACTACTTGATATTTAGAGGGAAAAAAAAGGGTTCTTTAATGCCTTATTTAGGAGACACCGGAGGCTCAGAAAAAGATAAAAAAGCAAAGGTTGAGATTGTATGATGATAAAGATCGAGCTAAATTAAATTTTGCTTAGATGAGTTGAATCGGAATTTTGAAGCCATCTTTCTAAACTTGGTCATATCTGAGCAATATTAAACTAATACTAACATATGTTTGAGTTTGTTGTCGTAGCTTGTGCATGACACTGCATTCCTCTATTTGCAGGGTCGATTTGAAATCATCTCTTTGTCAGGTTCCTTCTTCCAGTCGGAGAGTAACGGTAGCAGCCCAACTGGTGGCCTGAGTGTCTCATTGGCTGGATCAGATGGTAGAGTTTTGGGTGGTGGAGTTGCTGGAATGCTTAGAGCCGCATCACCAGTACAGGTACAGTTTTAGACTCTCTGCGCGTATGTAGATCTGTTAAGTCATTTTAAACCATCGAACTGTACTTTTCTCTACCAGATTGTGGTGGGTAGCTTCATTGCAGATGGGAAAAAACCCAAGTCTGAGCCATCTTTGGCTGCACCTGTGCATATGTTGAACTCCGGTGCTCCAGCGATGGGGGTCGGTCCTTCTTCAAGCGATTCATCTGAGAATGATGTTGGTCCTCTTAATCATAGCTCAGAACCTTACAGTGCCCAGCAAATTCCAAACATGTCAATGTATTCAAATATGGGCTGGCCAAATTCCACCATCAAAATGTTTCCTAATTAACCTTTCCCTTGAATATAATGCGCCAGTTCAAGCTTAAGAGGTTGGTTCCCAATGCTAACAGGCGGAGTTCTTCCTTCCTAGAGTCAATTTTTTTCATAAAAAATGTCATTTTATTCTCTTTAGCTCTTATTAGTGTTAGGTGATGAAGATGTTCTCTTGCAGATTTAAATATGGCTAATTTACTGCAAGCTAACGCATGTTTTCTGCATTCTTGGTGTGTCTGACTACATTTGTGAGCTTCATTTATAAATTATTGGATATAAAATCCTTAAGAATGGATTTACATTACAAGAAATCTCTTACTAATTACAAGGCATGACATACATTTGATGCATTCGCTATGAAAATCGAAACTTGGATTGGTATATCGTTTGAAATTTTTTTATGTTTAGACCGCTCACAGCGTAGTTTTTTTATTTTTTTTAATAAAAGCAAAACAAAAATACAGCTTCAGTAGATTTTCAGGTTTGGTTGGAATTCTCTTACCATGTAATATATTGAACTCACATGAATCAAGAGGGTGGGATATATAGTGACCTTCAGAAATGATAGTGCGAAGAAATGAGATACATGTGAAAGATTTACTTTCCATACAAAGGTAAAAAATCAGGAAAGATCTTAAACCTGTAAAGGTAATGCCTGTCTATCTGAACAGGAGCATGCATTTGGCGAAGAAAGCTGAGAGGTCCATACTCTTGATAGTTTCAACTCTAAAATGCAAGTGAATCGATAACTTGGTTTCACACTTGATAGACGTAGGTGACTAAATCTCAATCAAAAGAGGTGATGTCAATTGCGTTTGAGAATATTCTGGATAGTCCATTGTCCTCCACCTTGAGCGATGCAATGAACGATGAAGGTCGAGTCTTTTTCTACTCAGGTCTGATAACCTAAGCTATCTGGCAAGATCCCTTTCAAAATGGTGTGTAACTCGTCTCCAAAAAAAAGGCATTCCTCAAATGGAGAGAAGGCTTGTACGCAATGTTCAAGCTGATCTCGTATAATCCCCTCACCATTGGTAAATTCATCCTGGACACATCGTCAGTGTTGATTGGTGAAGTACACCAAAGAAGCAATGTAGGGGGCGATACGAAAGAAAGAGTCCGAGAAATACCAAGAGAGGGGCGATAGACATCTCCATGCCAATTTCCATACGAATATTCTGCTGCTTCTCATCATTCCTTGACGACCATAAAAATCAGAAGATCGGTAGATAAATTCTAGCGGGAATATGGCCAAAACGAACGAACTGTATTGTTTTGAAGGAAAACTAAAAATAAATTTTCACTGTGATTGAATTTTCAGCGTGTGGATTTTTGCCGGTGCCTAAAACCCTAAATGTTGGAATAAATAATTTATTTGTTGATTTATGTTAAATAAGTTGATTTATAAGTTAGTTTTAATAAAGTAATTTTTTTTATAATAATAAAACTTAAAATATGCAAATTATGTTGACCATTCAAAAATGATGTTTGTGCCTTCGCCACATCCATTTCCACAAAAATATAAAAATAACCATTTCATAAGTAAATAGAAGGATGCTAAATATCAATATTACCAAATGAAGTTGAGTATGATAGCAATCATACTTTCCAAAATACATCAATACTTGGTGTACAATCATTAGGAGGTTATAATTTTTACAACCTCTCACATTAAGATGAAACCCACTAATTAATTAATTTAAAAGTACGATTGTCAAATAGGAACACCTTTAACCAAGTCATACAATTGGTTGAGGCCACCTATTTTCAAAGGAACCTTCGAAGTAATACCATCCCAAAAATGCCAAATGTACAACATTTTTGTACAACCTTTTTGACAACCCCTCACATGGAAGTAGGGCCCACAATCACGAACCTCAACAACAATTGAAGGGACTGTCAAAGTGAATATAAAAAAAAACTGTACATATAACACAGTTCATACCATCCACAATCATCAACAAGAATTTTACATTGATAATTTACTCCATAAACTTTCTTTATTTATTTATTATTCTAAAAAATGTTCCCCTAAACAGTTTTGCCCAACAATAATAATCATGTTTTACGATGCACCACATTACAACTCAGATTTGGATAGTTTAAAATAAACACTTTTCTCGTCCACAAATTTTTTAAAAACAAAGAAAACGACATTTTCAATGTAAGGGAAAAACTGTACAAATAGCAATATTGTTCAATGTAAGTATTTTTCCTTACATCAAATTTGACATTCCCTTTGTTTTCAAAAAATTGTGGACGAAAATTATTTTTTTATACTATCCAATGGTATGTTACAATGATAGCAATCATACTTTCCAAAAAACATCAATACTTGGTGTACAATCATTAGGAGGTTATAATTTTTACAACCTCTCACATTAAGATGAAACCCACTAATTAATTAATTTAAAAGTACAATTGTCAAATAAGAACACCTTTAACCAAGTCATACAATTGGTTAAGGCCACCTATTTTCGAAGGAACCTTCGAAGTAATACCATCCCAAAAATGCCAAATGTACAACATTTTTGTACAACCTTTTTGACAACCCCTCACATGGAAGTAGGGCCCACAATCTCAAACCTCAACAACAATTGAAGGGACTGTCAAAGTGAATATACAAAAAAACTGTACATATAACACAGTTCATACCATCCACAATCATCAACAAGAATTTTACATTGATAATTTACTCCATAAACTCTCTTTCTTTATTTATTATTCTAAAAAATGTTCCCCTAAACAGTTTTGCCCAACAATAATAATCATGTTTTACGATGCACCACATTACAACTCAGTTTTGGATAGTTTAAAATAAACACTTTTCTCGTCCACAAATTTTTTAAAAACAAAGAAAACGCCATTTTCAATGTAAGGGAAAAACTGTACAAGTAGCAATATTGTTCAATGTAAGTATTTTTCCTTACATCAAATTTGACATTCCCTTTGTTTTCAAAAAATTGTGGACAAAAATTATTTTTTTATACTATCCAATGGATACAATGGTATACTATGTTAAATTTGTTATTATTATATTTTTTACATATGTTCATCGTACTAATAAGCGGATTGTAGTACGTAACCTTAACTAAAACTTCTTGTTAGTACTAGTACTGCTCAAGTTGTCAATGAATGTGACAAACTATCATTTGACAATTTCAAAAGAAGAAAAAATTCTCCAATATTTATTTTAAAACAAAGCATGTATGAATTTTACCTTAAAAATTAACAATCATGCAAATATATTTGGGCTGATACTCCGATTAATACCCTACTCACGTGAGGGTGAAACCCACTCATAATAAAATAATCGCATACCCCATGAAGGTGAGAGGGAGATGTCATCCATAATATAATCCGCTCGAGTAATTAGTCTATTTGTAAATTCTTTGTCTATGACATTTCAATAATAGTGAAGCAGCTAAGTTTGAGACGTGCAATTCAATAATAAGTTTAGACTCCATCCATCCAACTTCCACACATAACTGTTGAATCTTGTTACATGTACCCTTTAGAGTACACTTTGGTTTACCCGACCTCCTATGTGAGGAAGTAGGTGGAATCGAGTAAATCAAAGTGTACCCCAAATAATACAAATAGCACAATTCCATAACTATTTCATGTCATTAATGCAATAATAAACAAATAATTGATGTGACATCTCACCCACCACTTTTATATTTAGCACTTGTCTAGGAGCCATCTTTATCAAATTTTAATCTAAAATGCAACCATTATACAGTAAATTTCATCAGCCTGATATGAATTGGTTCCCTTTCATAGAAACACGACTCCACACCATAGAAGAAAGGACATTCTGGCTAACATCTTTCTTCAACACCAGTCATTTATTGTACTGTATAATGACTAAATTCAGATTAAATTCTCTAAAAATAACCACCAGACAGGTACTTAAAAGAATATGATAGAAGAAATGGCACATCAGCTATGTAATTTATGGTTGCATTAACATTACATACTTCCAGTCTCTTGTAATCTCAAAGATATGTATTCTGAACTGTCATAGTTCTCCTAAGATCAAAGTCTATAGAATGTAAATTAAGCCCCTGTTTGCCCCCCATTAATTTTTATTTTTGCACATTATCACTCTTTTCAACATACAAACCTGTCAATTGACTGAAGGCAGTGTCAGACACATTTATTGCGGTCCCGACCGTTGGCCAATTAAATGACGAAAACACTCTTGCCCTCATTCTGACATTTACACAATATTAGGGGCAAAATTGTCATTTTGACAATAAGTTGTTATATTAAAATATAAAAAATTCATTTTAAATTCATTTTGTTACATCAAAGTGGCAGTAGATCCCAGCCGCCTACTATAATTGACTGAAGAAAACGAAATTTAGCCCCTGTTTGCCACCCATTACTTTTCATTTTGCTCCATTAAATTACGTTTTCTTCAGTCAACTATGGTAGACGGCTGTGACCCACTGCCACTTTGATGCAATATAAATAAATTTAAAATAAATTTTTTATATTTTAATATAACCACTCATGGGGAAAATGACAATTTCACCCCTAATATTACGTAAATGTCAAAATGACATCGAGGGTGTTTTCGTCCTTTAATTGACCGACGGCTGGGACAGCAATAAATGTGTGTGACACTGCAATGACTCAACTGCCAAGTTTGCATGTTGAAAATCGTGATAATGTGCAAAAATAAAAATTGATGGGGGCCAAACAGGGGCTTAATGCACCAAAATGAAAATTAATGGGGACAAACAGGGGCTAACTATTCAACAGAAATCATCCCCACTCTCGACATTATGAGTTCACTCTTTTAAAGAATCAAACACAATTACATATTCATATATCATTCTTTGCTTCTGATACATTCTAAACAACGAAAACTAATGTTAAACACTATAAGAAAATGAAAATAAAAATAAAAACTTCTGCAGTAATTATCAGAGAAAAAAGAGAAAAAACGGAAGGGACATCAGTTCTCCAAGGTGATGTAGCATCAATGAAAATTTCAGACGCAAA